TGCCTCCCTGCCCCTGCAGCAGGTCCCCGCGGCTCTGCCCTCGTGGCCTGCTGCTCCCCGGCCTTGGAGAGCCTGGAAAGCCGAGATGCCCGCGGAGCCCAGCCTGGGAGCTGCAGGAGATTCCCAGCTCTGTCCCTGCGCCTTCCCCTGGCTCCCCGTCCCTTGGAGGGGCCGGGAGGGACCAAGGGCCCTGCTGTCACACGGGGCTATCGCTCCCTGTCCCTCCCCTGCGCGGCCACAGAAAACTCAGACAGGCGACTGGGAGCGCGTCCAGAAAACGTCTCACTGCGGAAGCTTATTATTTCCCCCAGAACAAAAGCTTTAAAGGAGAAAGAAAAGTGAAAAAGAAGCAAGAAAGAGAAAGAAAGAGCGCGCGAGAAGCAGGGCCCGTCTCTCGGGAAGGCTTCGGGAACGTCCTCGCTCTTTGTCGAACGCGCTTCGGAGCAGGAAGCAGACGAGAGGCAACAACGGCTACAAAGCGGCTGCTGCAGCGCAGGCCCTGCAGACACGTACGGCTGCCGCTCACGCTGGCATTGCCCACGCGGGCTGCTCAACTGCGCCACGGGTTGGTATTTAAAGACACAACTGGCAAAGGGCAGGCCACGCTGCTGGAGAGCTGGGCGGGAGGGGTACGGGTGGCAAGGGAGACGCGGCTGGAAAGAGCAGCGCCGAAAACCAGGTTTGAGGCTAAAAAAGAAGGAAGCAGAAGGGAGAGAAAACAGGCCCGGCCGCGAGCACCGTGTGAGCATGGCGGAACCCCGCGGGGGTTCTGTGTGTGGGGCCGCCGGTGCACGTGGCTCCGTGAACCGCGCGGGAACGTCCCGGCGGCAGCGACGCGGAGCCGCCCCGCGCTCGGGAGCGCTGCCTGCCCGGCGTGCACAGAGGAGGTGACTCTGCTCCGCAGCAGCCAACGTGGTTCCCCCGGGGCCCCGCTCAGACCCCGGGTGCTCGCGGGCGGGCGGGCGGCACCACACGGGATCCAGGATTAGGGATCTCACTGCCGGATCTAGCACTAGGGTTTTATTCTCCCGGCTCTGTCCCCAGAGCCACCAGAAGGCACTGACATCAGAGCAACTGTGACATTTAGCTAGAGCCATTCAAGACAGGAGGATGGGGAATTGTTTTGGCTGAAAGGCCCCTATTTGCCAAGTGTGTCTCACTTGACGTGCGTCTCCATCCACCTCACTCCTCTGTCGCCCAGAGCTACAGGAGGAGCGATCGGAAGCCGCCGCGGCAGGAAAAACCCCGGGACTCCAGGAGCGTAAACAGACTTTTTGCAGGAATTTTTTTCCAGGATTTCTGGCAAAGGCATAAATGGACACTACAAGCCTTAATCAGGACACAAACATTGTGTTGTAGCTGTCACCAAGTTATCTGTGCAGTCAAACTCATCTTTCCAAACATGCTATCATAAAATTACTAATATTGTCTTGACACATTATCAAATACTTGATTTTGAAGGTGCATGGAGAAAGTTCAGAGATCACCTCTACAGAGCTACTTTGATAAAAGAAGGGAGTAAGTGGAGAGAAAGGAAATCCTACAGCTCTGTCTCCATCTGTTCTCCCATGCTCTTCCTGTAATTTTTTAAAGCACCAAACTTCTCTCCACACTAAACAGCACCTTCAAACCTGGGGCTCCAGACAGGGAAGCTCCTACACTGCACGGAAACAGCTGTATGGAAATGGCAGGCCCCTTGGTGTTAAATAAACAAACAAAAAGAAATAAAATAAAACACTGACTAGTCTGGGAAAGAAATGGCTTAAGGAAAAACAAGTAAAGCAGAGAGGCTTTGCCTGTTCATGTCTGGTATTTTAAAAGCTTTTTTTTTTTTGTATGCCAAATGTAAATTTCAGGATTACTTGAATTTAGTGTCTCCATACAGTGATGGAAATGTAAACTGAGACCCATCTGCAGTAATGCATCCCACTTACTTCCTACAAAAATACCTGGAAACTTAGCAAGCTGCTTAATGGAAGCAAGAGAGCGTAAGTCCATCTGGATTCAGAGGCTGAACAGGTTAAGTGCTGTGTATTTTATAGCATCCACCTGTAGGTACTAAGAAATTAGAAATCCTGCTGGATTATGGCTTAAGTATTTTCTTGGTCCCAAAGGGATTGCTTGGGATTTGTGCTCTCCAGGTACTGCATACAGACGGGAATCTCACCATGCCGAAGCTCTCACGCGGCTCTGGGCACTGCTTGGGGCTTGGAGCCGCTGCCTGGCGCCCCTCGGGGCTGCCTTCGCCCTCGAGCAGCTCTGTTTAACCCAGGCCCTTGCTGGGATTTCCAGCGCCCTGTGGCCAGGCTCTGCCCAAGGACAGCGAGTGGCTCGGAACACCTTTTGGCCTTGGAAACAACAGGAAAAATGACAGAGAATCCCGGGATGCGGCGCCCCCCGCTGCAGAGCTCCCCAGCTCACAACCCGCCCCAGCATCGAGGCTCTGCGCTCAGGTGGGGCTGAGTGACACCTGAGGACCTACACATCCCTGTGCACATTCCTGATGGATAGAGGACAAGGTGAACACATCCCTGTGCACGTTCCTGACGGATAGAGGACGAGGTGAACACATCCCTGTGCACGTTCCTGACGGACAGGGGACAAGGGGACCTCTCGCCAGCTCCGAGCGCGACGAGGCTGCGTGTGGGTGACCGCAGGGCACGGTTAGGCCAAGCAGTGCCTGGCATTGGAAATGCCTCAGGCTGCACAGACAGGACAGAGTTAGGGGCTCTTACCTGACACTGAGTTCACGCTGCGGCAGCAACACAAAGACACAATGCAACCGGTATTAAGCATTGTCAACACCAGGGTCGTTTCAAGACAAAAGAAAAGGAAAAATAGGAATATTTTCCTGCATTCACATGTTGCCTTTTCCCCTTCTTCCCCTCCCCAAATAAACGAAAGCCCCTCCCGAAGCCACCCCCTAGCCTGGCTCGAGCAGAGCTCGCCAAGAGGAGTCTGCGGAGCAGCGGCGGGAAGGCGGGAATGCTGGCGCGCGCCGCCTTGCTTCCCGGGACCCAGCGCTCCCGGGAGCTCACAAAGGCCTGCAGGAATCGTGGCCTTTCCTTCCAGGTGCCCCTGCCGCCAGGTCATGCTCCCGGCGCCTTCCGAACGGTGCTCCAAGCGGAGCGGGCGTCCCGAGAAGCAAAGCGACTCGGTGCTGGAGAGCACGGCAGGACTGGGCAACGTCTTCACAACCGCAACACCGGAGCTCCAAACCCCAGGAATAAGGAGCGGGAGGCGGTTGGAGGCAACACACAACAATCTCCTCTGATCCCGGGGTCCCAGACTCAGGCCACTGCCCAGGGCTGGCCCAGGACAGAGCAAAGAATTAAAGACTTGTTAAAGCCAGTGATGGGGAAGGAGAGAGGAGGATATGCCTGGATCTGGGAGTTAAATGGGACACCCTGTGGGCTTTGATGCCCACGGGTTGCACCTGACAAGGAGGTGGAAAACTGGGCTCCTGCTTGGAAGGCCTTTGTGCGGCACGAGCAAGGGGGCAAGAAGCTAGAGCCAGAGTGCGAAACACTGCAGGGTTGGGTGCGAGGCTGGGCCTGGGCAGGCTGTGAGGGAGATCCCTTGGATCGTCTGGGATGGTGAGTCTGCACTGGACGATCTCCCAGGGAGACAGGGGAGGAAGGAAGCTCCTGCTGGACGCAGACTGCAAGGAAGGTGGCATGAACAGGCCCCAGGGCTGAGGCAGGGTCCGTCAGTGACACGGAGGCACCCGAGCTCGGAGCATTTCCTGGGGACAGCCCTGCTGCCCACGCGCCCGGAGCGCGGCCGGTCCGGTGCCGCCCAGGCACGGCGCTCCGGGAGCTCCCGGCACCACGGCGCTGGTGGGCCAGGCCGCCCCGCAGACACCCCAGGGCCCGCGGAGCTCTCACCTCCTCCAGCTGGCTGTGGATGTGCTGCACAATGAGCTCGATGGCCACCCGGTTTCCACTCCCTGCAGCGGGTCAAAAACAAGAGCCAAGGCCTGCATCAGCGCCCGGGACAAGCTTCTTCCCCACGTTCCCCTCTATGCCCAAGAACAAGCAGCGTTCCTGCTTTCCCAAGGAAGCCCTCCCTTTGGAAAGCATCATTGAGCAGGAATCATTCTTGTTTTCTTATTATTTCATAATCTACTATTGTATACCTGGATGTCATCCCTCGCTTTTAAATCCCTAAAATGCAGGAGCTTGTAGGTCTTAAGGCTGCTTGAGGGAAAAGTGTTTTTTATCATTTCCTTTAGGAATCTGCTCTTGGTTGGTGTTGGAGAGACGGGACCGGGGGAACCTTTTCTTTGCACAGCACATCCCTCTCCTGCCCCCGCAGCGCAGGGCACCTGCCTGGCAGGGCCGACCCAAAGGGACGGCACCGGGACGGCGCTGCCCGGTCCCGCTCGGGACGGAGCCACGGGGCAGGTACCTCGGGGCACGACGATGTCGGCCAGCCGCATGGTGGGCTGGATGTACTGGTCGAAGGCAGGTTTGACAAACTTGTTGTACTGCTTGATGACCCCCTCGATGTCACGGCCACGCTCGCTGATGTCCCTGCGCAGGCGACGCACCAAGCGGATGTCCGAATCCGTGTCCACAAATATTTTCAGGTCAAGGAGCTGCAATGAGAGGGGATGGAATAAACCCTGGGTAATTTGGACTCGTTTTCTGTCGCAGCCCCAGCCAGGAGGTGGAGCAGGGACCCAGCAGAGGACTCGCTTCACGGCGCTTGGCGCTGAGCCCGGCTGCCCAAAGGCAGCACAGACATTGCACCAAGTCCCCTGTTGTCACCTGCCGTTCACTGTCACAACCTGAAAGCCCCGTCCTGCCCCTTCGGCAACAGCCCAACCCTCTGGCTGAACTAAGGGAAAGAAGAGGAGCTCGTGAGCGTGACACAGACAAGGGGGTTGACGCAGGAGCGCTGGCTCCCTAGTGCTGGGGGGAGGCTCTGGGGCTGAGGTTCATGACACTGCCCGAGTGCTCAGGATGAGGGAGGTTGGAGGAAACGCTCCCCGGGACTCACCCCGCTGTCCACTGGAGGTCATCGTTGCTCCAGGAAAGCACAAACCGAACACTCACTTGGCAGGGAAGGACACTTTCTAGAGGGAACTTGGCTCTGTTTGTGCATGCCTCACTCCCTGCTATTTTGCAAGAGTCAAGACTTATTTCTCTTACACAGCGAGGAGCTGCAGCCCTGGGGGTAGCCAGCAGGACAAGGAGAATCCTGCTGGATCTCGGGGGGGAAGCAGCCTCCCCAGCGCCCTGCAGCAGCCCAGGGTGAAGTGCTGGTCTGCAGAGCGGGCGCTGCAGGAGAGCAGGGTGCTGCGCAGGGACGCAGGAGCACGGGGCTCCTGCAGGAGTGGGACTCTCTGCACCTGGGATATAGTGGGATACCAGGCTGCAGAATCAGCCTGCTGGAGCGCTAACACTTGTCAGGCTTCCCACAAGTGAGTCCAAAATCCTTCCTCACCTTCAGGAGCTCCTTGTCTGCGAATGCCATGATGCCTTCAAAAATAATCACATTGGCTCCATATAAGGTTTTCTGCAGAGTCAAAATAAACACGGTCAGACAGAGATGTGTGTGCAAAGATACCCCCACCCCAGGAAAAACGGTAACGCAACAGGGAGATCAGCAAAAGCAGGAAGGACATGAATTGCTGCTCCATATCTATTTCCCGGGCTGTGAGGTCATGGACAGCATTCCAAGAGCCTCTGGCGGGACACGGTATGTGACACAAACGGGATTCTTCCAGCTTTCCTCTCCTGCAGAGCCTGCAGCCCCTTATAACACCCTGACCCGGGCAATAGACTGAACAGACCCACCTGGACCAGACCTCCCGGCTCCCGCCTCTCCAGTCCGGCCGTGTAACCTCGCTCCCCTTTACAGGCGCCTGCTCCACCGCCAAGGGTGCTAACGGGGGCTGCCCTTGCTGCCAGTCATCCCCTCTGGCTCTTGGCGACCACAACTGCTCACCCAAAATATATGTGCCCTGCGCCAGCCATAGAGCAGAAGCCAACTGCAAAAGGCAGGGGATGGAGGGGATGGGGGAGCCCCCCAGTCCCCCCTGCGCTGCCCCGCGTGGCTCCGTGCCCCGTACCCATTCCTTCTTCCGGCTGTGGGTGGTGAAGTCGTAGATGGGGATCTTCACACTCTTGCCCTGCTTCAGCTTCTTCAGGGTGGCGATGATGAGGTCGAAGTCGAAGGCGTCGGGGTGGTCGAAGTTGAAGTCGTTGTTGGCTGCCTGTTCTTGCTGCTGCTTGGTCAGCACCTGAGCACAGGGGCCACGTCGGGGCTCGTGGCCGTCGCCTCGGCCAGGCCCCCGCTCAGCACTGAGCTCCTGCTGCCTCCCGCAAGGGCCACGAGGAAACAGGAGGCTGCCAAACCCTGGCCCTCTCCATCTACGCAAAGGGCAGGGCAGCCCGAGAAGCCAGGGGAGGATGATGACAGCCCTACCTTGTAGAAGGAGTCCATGGAGAGCAGAACCACCCACGGGACGTCGAGAGCCTCAATGATCATCGTGGCCACCGTGGTCTTCCCCGAGGCGCTGCCTCCTCCCAGGCCTGCCAGGGAGAGGGACACGGAGCCCCCTGAGGCACAGGGAGGCCCCCGGGTGGGGGGGGAGCCGCCGCTCGCTCTGCTGCGCCGGCTTGGGGAGGACGTCTACAAGGGGAAGCTCGTAGGCAGCGCAAGGGAGAGGTTATCCCGGAAAACGCCACATGGAAAGTACTCTCGTTGCCACAACTGGGCAGCAAGAGCCGTGCAACCCTTCACGTAAAGCTTGTGTAATGAGGGGAGAGGTGGCGAGAGCCAGCCCGGACTAAGCCCCTGGGAACTCGTGACAACTCAGGCAACAGGGGCAAGAGCTGTGGGAAGAGCCGGAGGGATCGTGATCCGCCTGCAGGAGCACAGCACCCACCGGAGCTCCGGAGCTTCCCTTGGCACCGCCGGCCTCACCATGGGGCCTCCCCCTGCTCCTGCCCGCGCCGAGCAGCCCGGAGCCCCTCGCAGGGGCCCTGGAGAGGCACCCGACGAGGCCCCCAGCCTGCCCCGGAGCAGCCCCCAGCGCC